TCTCACTCACTCTCTCACTCTCCCTCGCTCTCCCTCCCTCTCCACTCTCACTCATTCTCTCGCTCTCCCTCCCTCTCCCTCTCCACTCTCTCTCCCTCTTTCCCTCCCCCTTCTCTCTCTCTCTCTCCCTACATCTCTCTCTCTCTCTCTCTCTCTCTCTCTCCCTCCCTCCCTCCCTCCCTCTCTTTCTCTCTCTCTCCCTCTCTCTCTGCCTCCCTCGCTCTCTCTCTCTCTCTCTCTGTCTCCCTCGCTCTCTCTCTCTATCTCTGTCTCCCTCGCTCTCTCTCTCTATCTCTGTCTCCCTCGCTCTCTCTCTCTCTCTCTCTCTCCCTCTCCCCCTCTCTCTCTCTCTGTCTCTCTCTCTCTCTCTCTCTCTCTCCCCCTCTCTCTCTCTCTCTCTCCTCCTCTCTCTTTCTTTTTCTCCTACCCTCTCTCTTTCTCTCTCTCCCTCCCTCTCTCTTTCTCTCTCACCCTCCCTCTCTTTCTCTCTCTCTCCCTCTCTCTTCTCTTTCTCTTCTCTCTCTCTCTCTCTCTCTCCCTCCCTCTCTCCCTCTCTCTCTCTCTCTCTCCCTCTCTCCCTCTCTCTCTCTCCCTCCCTCCCTCTCTCTCTCTCTCTCTCTCTCTTTCTCCCTCTCTCTCTCTCTCTCTCTCTCTTTCTCCCTCTCTCTCTCTCTCTCTCTCTCCCTCCCTCCCTCCCTCCCTCTCTCTCTCTCTCTCTCTCTCTCTCTCTCTCTCTCTCTCTCTCTCTCTCTCCCTCCCTTCATCCCCCTCCCTCCCTTCATCCCCCTCCCTCCCTTCATCCCCCTCCCTCCCTTCATCCCTCTCCCTCTCCCTCTCCCTCTCCGTCGCTCTCTCTATATATATAGATACTTACTTACATACATACATACATACATACATACATACATACATACATACATATACATACATGCATATATAGATATATATGTTCACACACACTTTTTTTTATATATTCATACACATACATGTGTGTGCATACTCACACGCTGACGTGCAGTCACACATACAAGCAAATACGGCGGACGCATAACCCCGAAATCAGCCAGTTGAAAGGGGGGCATCTCCGCTGTAGCGACGGCACCGTTTCGGTAAAGAGCAGATGCCCGGATCCATACATTACCATGGGTATGGCCACCTGGCCCTTTGTACGGGTATGGGCACCAAATGAGAGAGGGAAAAGAGATTACGCTGTGATTGGTTGCTTGGTCTCATGTGACCGCGAGCGTCCATTTTGGCGCGCATTTGACGTGCAGTTCTCAAACAATAACAACCGCAGCATTGTGCCCTGGGATGCATTGTTGCAGAGATCAAGGAAGGGAGTGGAGTCCTGGCGAGTTTGCAATTTTAAAGATGAAAATTTAGATAGATGGCCGGATGACCAATAGGCAAGGCAACCGAAAAAATAGGAATACATTTGTTTTCTAAGATGTTGAGTATTGTATTATAACGGTATGTATTTTCCCGCGCGCGCGCGCGAGTGAGTGAACGTGTGTGTGTGTGTGTGTGTGTGTGTACGTATACGTGTATAAATGTACCGCAAATATGCACATAAACCATTATGCATATATATGTGTGTGTGACCTAGTATGGATGAGTGCGATTGCGAGTGAGATGTGCGAACATTTCTCTCTGGGACATCTTCCTCTGTGCTAAGCGGGCGTGTGTGTGTGTGTGTGTGTGTGTGTGTGTGTGTGTGTGTGTGTGTGTGTGTGTGTGTGTGTGTGTGTGTGTGTGTGTGATTGCGAGTGAGATGTGCGAACATTTCTCTCTGGGAGATCTTCCTCTGTGCTAAGCGGGCGTGTGTGTGTGTGTGTGTGTGTGTGTGTGTGTGTGTGTGTGTGTGTGTGTGTGTGTGTGTGTGTGTGTATGTGTGTGTGTGTGTATGTGTGTGTGTGTGACTATGTGTCAAATACACATGTGTGTGCGCGCGTATATGCGTACATAGGTGTGAGCGCGCGTGCGTGCGTATGTGTGTATCAGTGTATGTATGTGTTTATGTGTGTATGTGAAAGTATGTGTCTGAGTATATACGTGATACACTTGCGCACAGTAATTCTAAACAAATAATACTGGAAATAAAGGACCGTATCAGTCGAGGCAGACGATGCCGGAAGATGCTACAGTATATCATCAAAATTACGAACTTGGATGGTAAATTATACTTATATAACTAAACTGAACTGATGTAGTGGTACAGTGGTACAGCAGCGAAAATAGTATAAAGATAATGATGATAATGACGATGATAATTCCAAAACATATTACTGATAATAAAATAGATTTTACTGATAATAAGATAAATATTACTGATAATAAAAGAAATAGTATTAGTATTAAACACATTACTGGCAATAGGACATATTAAAATTACTAGTAATAAAAATCGTACTATAAAATTATATTGATAGTAATATAAATTATATAAAAATTAATAAAAATATGAATAACAATTGCTTTAAAAAAATACAACCAAGAATCATCTCTACAGGACAATGAATTAACACGAAAAAAAAACAGCGTCAGGCGAGAACCATAGAAGCGCGTCACAACCTACGTAAACACTGTAGGGGGCAGCTCTCTGATTGGTCGTCGCAAGTCACGTGACCAAGCACAAGCACAATTCGACGCGGGTTTGAAAACTTAGGATACGCGGGAAGTCGATTCTGTTGTTGTTTTCGAAATTTGATTAATTTCTGAATTTGAAGGCAGGATGTTTATCATTTTTCTGTCAGATCAAGTTTCCTTCCTAGTATGAATGGCGGTTAGCTACTTTTTCTCTTATTTTAGAATATACGTAATTTCCTTATTTGGATGGTAGATAATTCATTCATATCATAAAACAGAAAGGGGTAAGCTGTATTGTATCCCAGGGCTAACGATAACATGCGATTATCCGCATATATTAAGTTTAAATTCATGACGATAACGAGAATATGTATCAAAATTATCCCGGTGTCAATTTCATAATAAAATTTATAATAAAGATGACGATTATAACAAAGATGACGATTATAACAAAGATGACGATTATAACAAAGATGACGATTATAACAAAGATGACGATTATAATAAAGATAACGATTATAATAAAAATAATGATTATAATAAAGATGACAATAATAAAGATGATGATTATAATAAAGCTAAGGATAATAAAGATGATTATAATAAAGATAAGATACTAAAGATGATAATAATAAAGGTGATAGTAATAAAAAAAGATGATTATAATAAATATGATGATAATAATAAAAAAGATGATTATAATAAATATGAAGATAATAATAAAAATTATTATAATGAATATGATAATAATAACAATAAAAAATGATGATTATAATAAAGATGTTAATAATGATGAGGATAATAGTAATAATAATAAAAAGAGGAAGAAGAAAAATAATATCAACACAAATAATCAAATATAATTATAATAATAAGAAAATAGTAAACGTAAACAATAAAAGCGATTTATAATAATAATGATAATAATAATAATAATAATAATAACAATAATAATAGTAATAATAATACATTATGGTATCAAGAATAATGCAGTCACAAAATAACAGCAACAAACCAGAAATGGCAAATTCAAAATTAATATTAACACCGGAAATTACCGATAATACCTCTGCAGTCTTGCATCCTTTAAATTATTATGTATACTTCCGATTAAACACGAAATAAATATATAACAAATCATGCTAATAATAAAATAGGCCGTTACATCTAAACTATTACCTGAACAGATTAAGATCATGTATGTAGTCTGACCTTTTGAATTCTTGCATGTGACCTCAAATGACCTTGAAACGAGGACTTAATTACACTAATAATTCATTAATAACTTTTTTGACAACCCGAACACCTGTCAGAGTAAACCTGGAAAATTTGAGTGGCAAATAAAAAAAAGTTACTATGACAAAATGGGAAAGCAAATTTGAATTGTAAATTACATTTAAGACTGCCCTTCAGTCACGAGATAGAACCTTGAAGATTATCAGAAAATGGTAAGACGGATAACTAAGCTTTCTTTTCTATATACAAATACGATAAATTTTGCTAAATTTCATATAGAAACAATACTACTAAAAAGTATAATAATAACAATATAATTAATACAACAGTTCATGCTGCTCTTTACTACAATTGCTATAATAATTATGTGAGTATATCAACCAACAAACGATACATAATAATAACAAATAAAGACGAGGGACAGTATAATAATAGTATTATAATAAAATAAGTTTTACACTTATAATAAGTAAGCTTGTGTTATACCCATCGACAACTCCTTTGCGTTTGCGTGACAGTCTTGTTAACAATGATAGCGGTGTTTGTTTACCTCCAATTGTATTTACTTACACATTGTTTTAATGTCTGACATACCCTTTTAAACATATTTATAAATATCAACGTGCTTAAGTTATTTTCGTGGAAATTTATGCGCATTTTGATGTATAGTTGAGTAAGTTGTACATTTCTCAAATTACCGGACTCTTTCTTGTTTATTGTGAGTTTGTTTATGGTGATTGTCTGGCTTTTTCTTCTTAAAAATGTGTCTGTATGTAATCACTACATATCACAATACTTTCCTGATATATTTATCTACGCTTTGACTTTGATAAATTTTTAAAATGAAAATAACTAAGGATATATTAGAACATAGAAGAATATAATGAAAGAATTATCACAATCATCTGTATTCATGTTCTTATATTTTCACACTCAGGTATCGGAGCGACCTAAAATTTAGCTTAAAATAAAGCTCAACATCTGGACTATTGGGAACATATAGAATAGAAAAAGTACGATTTCGCAATAAGACACAAGATTTGATGTAACTGACCGAACAAACACAAAATTACGCGAGGCATCAATGAAAACGAGGGTGCGCGTTGGGCCCGCTACAATTCCGTCCGCTCGCCTGCGTAAATATTCGTGGGTCGCTCGCCGCTGGCATCACTCGCCTTTCGAGCGCAGAGCGTCCACATCTAAGTCCTTGATCCAACCATCCAATCCTCTGAATAATGGCTGCTGAAGCTACTGCCAAGAAGGCAAAGAAGCCTACCCCTAAGCCAACCCATCCTAAGTACAGCATCATGATCGCTGCTGCCCTCAACTCCCTGAAGGAGCGCAACGGTTCCTCCCGTCAGGCTATCCTGAAGTACATCCTCGCCAACTACAAGGTAGGAGAGACCACCACTGGCGTCCGCCTCAAGCTGGCCCTGAGGAAGGGCGTCGCCGAGGGCTCCCTCAAGCAGATCAAGGGAACTGGCGCAGCTGGATCTTTCAAGCTGGCCAAGGCCGAGCCTGCCGCTGCCACAGGAACCCCCAAGAAGCGTGGAAGGCCCGCCGGCAAGAAAGCCGCCGCCACTGCCAAGAAGCCAGGCAGGCCCGCCGGAAAGAAGCCCGCAGCCAAGAAGCCCTCAGGAAAGAAGCCAGGCAGACCCGCAGGCAAGAAGAACGCCAAGAAGCCAGGCAGACCCGCCAAGAAGTAAACTTAGTTATGTAATCTCAAACCCTAGTGTAAGGACATCTGTATAGGTGTGAACAATGTGTTTCTTAAAGAAAATGCAATTATTTTATAACTTTGACGTTCTCATTTACAAAATGTAGATATGTATATACTAATAAATATCTATTTTCTCAATTTAA